GGGAAAAACTCGATCTATGTGTATAAAGTTCATTAATGCATATCTTATATATTTATGTATTTGTGTGTGTATATATGTGTGTGTATGTGTATGTATGTATATGTGTATATGTATATATGTATATATATATATATATATATATATATATATATATATATATATATATATATATATATATATGTATATCCATCCATTTTCTTCCCCTTAATCCATTTCTGGGTTGGAGGGTGGCAGTCAGTGCACAGAGCATCAGCCCCTCACTGATCCTCCTGCAGGTGGTGAGTCCACAGGAGCTGAGATCTTTCAGTGGGAGCCTCAGGCAAAGTAGGGTTAAGTGTCTTGCCCAAGGACACAACGACAGCAGTCATCAGTGGGAGTCGTGAAGTACGTCTTGTGGTGGACTCGAACCCACAACCTTCAGGCTCAAAGGCCAATGCTCTACCAACTGAGCCACTGTCGCCCTACTGAGCCACTGTCAATATATATGTATATATGAATGTATATGTGTGCATATATGTGTTGTTTTGTTTTTTTTCTTTTCTTTCTCTGGTTCAGTCACTTATCATTCCTGATTCTACCAAAATCACCAGAACTCCATTCTGGGGTCAGTTTGAGAAATTATCTCAACAAAAATCTGGTTTGGTAGTTCCTCTTGTGTCATCGCTCCAGCTGCTCTGACAAATTGAGAATGAGGGTAGACATGGTGTGGGTCTGTTGGGTAGAGGACACCTCCCTCCAATAGGTCCATAAAGCCTTGTCTTTTTAATGCACTACACAGAACAGTTTCCAGACACAGAGGGGGCTACAGCTCTGAATGCACCACATGTTGTAAAAACAATGAAGATTACATTTATTATTGCGAAGAACTGGATGGAACATAATTTGATAAGCATTGCTGATATTTTTGTTTGTTTGCATCAACAAGATAAAAATGATGATGGCAAAAATCAGGAATGTCATGTGAAAATTTAAATATTTTGCAGCCGCTTAAATGAATTAATTGATAATGGGGAAGGCACATATAAGCCTTTTGCTTCGGCCTTCTCCTTTTGAGCTTTTTTTTTTGTCTTTCTTGAATTATTTGTGCATGTTATTGTGTATTGTCAAACTGCTCAAATAAAAATACTACTACTACTACTACTACTATGACGTTCAACTTTTCCATGTTCAACAATGACAAGCGCGGGTCCAGGTCATATCTGCGAAGAGGCGAGCACTGTGCATAAGAATGGAGGCAATTGGGGTGTGAAAACCCTATCTTGTTTATACACCTCAATCGGATTGGATTGAGACATTGAGCAGCGATGCATTTAGGAGCACAGGGAAAAGCTTGAGCCTTATATTTGAATGTACTTGGACAAATATGGACGACTCATTCATGTTGTTTGGGATCAATACACACTCTCTCTCTGCAAATCAAAACGAAACTTTGCAGGAATCCCGGCTCCAGAAGGGTATACGTAATTGTTAATGGTCATGAGAAACGTGTGTATTGGAGGGAGAAGCTCTGGCGGACTGAGAAGACGGATGTGTATGTCAGAACATGTCAGGTGTCTCTCCCATTCATCAAGCTGCCCTCACACCCACTCTATATGTAACATGTCCCCTGCCTTCTCCCAAGAGTCTTTTTGGCTTCTTGAAATGCCTTCTGAAGACCTTATATAGATGGAAAACTGCCCACTAGGTTTACCCCCACTCCCCAACTCTTATAAATACACCAGGCTGACCAATATGGACATGCATGTGGTCATGGGGAGATAATATGTAAGGTTGGACATTCATTTTGAAATTAGACAGACGTGATGTTATTTATTAATTTGGTTATTCTATAGAGACAATGCACATCAATGAACATCAAAACAAATGTAACTATACAGGATTGTAGCAACAAAGCTAACAAAGCCTCCGCAGTCCATAGGCAGGAATGTTTGCAATGAAAAACTTGCAAAAATAGAGTTACTACAACTCTGTCTGGAGAGAAGGATGCAATAGTGAGTGTTGACATATGTTTAGAAGAAAGTACAGTATCAAAGAAGCATTTACAGGTGAAACTTGGAAAATTAGAGTATTGTTCAAGTCACTCAAAATGTGAAACTATTAAATGATTTAGGCTCGTCACATGCAAAGTGACATATGCAAAGCCTTTTTTTAAAAAATTGAATCGTTATGCTTAATAATGATTATGGTTTACAGTTGCACAGAAAAATATAATAATTTTCTGAGAGGTTTTAATTGTTTTTTTTTTGAGCTTTGAGCTAAGTATCAACATTATAATAGATAAAGGCTTGGTGTATCTCACTTTGCATCTAATGAGCCTGATGAAATTAGTTTCACATTGTAAGTTGGATTACAGACGTAAACAGGCTTCTGAACAATGTTACAATGTCTTTTTCTTTCTTGTAGCAGCAGTAAAACAAGGTAAATAATGAACTTGGAGAAGGGGATGGTGACTTTCAGACCTGTGAGTGAGAAAAGTGTTAGAAGAGCCAGACTTACAAAAAATCCCCAGAGGAAGACACTATGTAGAAACTTCAAATAATGGACTTTTATTCTGTAACAAGTATCTCTGAAGTATTTCTTGTGACTGCCACTTTACACTTTCACTTTGTCACTCACATATTTCCAAGGCTTGGAAAAGCACCATACCAAGCACTGTTTTGTTTACACTATTCTGGACCCCTGATGCACGCACTCGCATCTATAAGGACTGAAGCGCTTAGAATCAGAATTATGAGTGGCTGAGTGCTATCCACTCAGCCACTCACGGTGTCTAAGTGGATAGCACTCTCGCTTCTCAGCAAGAAGGTCCTGGGTTTGAATCCCGGTTGGACCAGGGCCTTTCTGAGTGGAGTTTGCATGTTCTCCTCGTGTCTGCGTAGGTTTCCTCCGGGTACTCCGGTTTCCCCTACCACTAAAAACATGTACAATAGGCCTGGCATGCGCCTCCTGTACTGGCCCCTCCCATCTCTGTGTGGAGTGAGAGGACAAATGCCCAAAAATAGTAATGGTAAACTGCTTTGTGACTCTGGTCTGTGAAAGGCGGTATATAAATAAAGATTACTTACTTACTTACTTACTAAGTAACATGGAAGTCACACACTAGCACTTGCAAGGTAGATATAAGGCATTCATAAACTAATCATCATTTAAGAAAATTGTCCTTACTGTGTCTTCTATTTACAAGTGCGCACTAAGTACACACAATAGACATTTAACAGTGCAGTTAAAATGACAGTAACATAAAGTGACGGTCATAAAGGGCGTGATGAGTTATGAAGTGTTCATGAGTCTGACTGCAGATGGGAAGAAACTGTTCCTATGGCTGGAATCAGAAAGTAAAAAATAACAATAATAATCTTGCATTCTAAGCATTGATGGTAAGAGATAGATATGGGCTATACAGGTGGATTATAATTTATTTTTGTAATTCACTTGTGACATTTTTTATAAAGTTGATAATTAGCTCGCAGCTTGTAAAAACGGTTTGTAAGCATAATCAAAATGATAACAACATTGAATTACTGAAATAAATCAACTTTATTTCATTCAAACTTATATCATTCAGTTTAAATACAGAATCATGCATAATTCTTGCATTTTCGCAAATAAATGTGGTTATATTTACTTCAAAGTAAGGCCCCAGAACCTTTAATAGTTTGTTAATGCAGAATAGGAACATGTGTTTTATTTCTATGTTGAAGACGCCCCACCCTATTTAAGATGGCTCTTTATACTGTAAAAATAAAAATCTTTCGATGTCTTTTGTTTGGTTTATTGTTAAATGTGGACCTGTTGTGTCTCCTGTGAAGACTGCAGCTCCTAAAGCGTTACCTCTTGTTGCAGTTGATCACGAGCCAAGCCGCGCATATCTTTCAGGTATGTTGAGGTCTGCCTCATGTGTTTTAGGCTGGGCTGTGATCGACTCCTGCGCCCGCTGACTGTTCCCTTCTACTCCTTGATTGCAGTTTAGTTTTCAAAGAGGGAATTGCAAAAGGTAAAATTCACAGGCGCCACAGACCCACCATGAGAGACTGAACTGCTTTCAAAGTTAAGCAGCATCAGCTTTGGCTGCACCAACCTGATTTTCTAAATGGAATATGTGTGAAACTTTATGTTTAACATGTTTTTAATACGCTATGGCAGTACATTAAGTTATTCTTTGGAATCAGCATGGAGGGAGTTGGCTGTTATGCTTATCTGCTTAACTGTACAGACATTGTTCTAAATTCCCAATTTGTTTACCATTAAATGCAACACATATCAACAACTAATGTCCAATTTCAAAAAATTACCAAAATGTATGTACAGTATTGAACAATTGATCTGAAATCCAACATAGTTTCCTTTCTGAATGGGAGTGATAGAGACTACAGAGAAGGCAGTACAACATCAGAACATTAGAAAACCACGACACAAGCTACTTTGCTGGGCTTTTGGACGCAATTGAAGGCAATCCATTTGCAAGGCCTTGTAATAGAATCTATGCTGCTTTGCAAGTCTCAACAGATCGCTTTGGGTCACTTAACCTTGTTGCAAAAGGGGCAAAGTCAATTCATATTTATAAGCACTTCATTCTAAAAGAGCAATTCAAATCAAAGCTCAAGGCTTAAGGATATTTCTATGGAATATGCTTCAAGGGTGTCGAGCGAAAGAGGAACCTGAACACATAGGATATATTTACAGCCAGTGTAAATATGTGGATGCATGTTTGTAGTGGTATCTGTCCCATCACACCTGTCACAGCGACTCTTCCCCTCGACATAGTGCTCTGAAGTTGTGCCCCTCTTGTTGTGCTGCCCCAGTCAGACTGGCTACGAGCGCTGTCAAATGTTGGCTTTCATTTCCCTAGATTTTAGACTTTGGCCTTGGAATTCACATGGCAAATGTTTATCTCTGGAAATAAAGGAAAATAGCTTTTTGCATCTTTGTGTATATCATTTGAGCTTTGTTAAATACAGCCTAACCTCTTACTCCCATCTCTGCCCTGTGTGTGTGCTTAGCTTGCAGCTCAGGTGCTGGATGACATGGAGGCCCAAGACATTGGATTTGCTCTTGTTGATGAAAAGAAGGGTGCTGCCGTCGCTAAGAAGCTTGGTAAGACTTGTGCACGAAGACAAAAATATACGTATAAAAATGTGTGTCTGTATATTTTCCAATTATAAATTAATTTGAAGCCTTGAATGTTAAAAGAGCAAAAATTGAACAGACAAAATAGTCACTAAGAAATCTTTATTTATATAGCACATTTTTACAGACCAAAGTCACCCAAAGCCCTTTACAATATTCAGAGCTCATATTGTTTCATTATTATGACAGAAGCGAGTCGCCGAGCGCACTGATTCAGATTCAGATTCCGTTTATTTGCCATTTGCAGTAAAACACCACATCAAAAAGTCACCAGTGTGCACAGACAAATACAAACAACATTAAAAGACAAAAATAAAACAAATAAAACAGTAAACAAATGTCACTGTGAAATCGATCGACTAAAACAGTTTCAAAACAAGTGCAAATCATTAAAGTGCTCTGTTCACACTGATAACAGCTTGTGGATAAAAACTGTTAGCGTAACGAGATGTCCTGCATCTCAGAGAGCGATATCTTCTGCCAGAAGCTGGAACATGGCTTTCCCAGGGTGGCCAGAAGAGTCATTGACAATCCTAAGAGCTTTGTTTAAAAGTCTGGATTTATAAAGAACCTCCAGAACATGAAGCTCACAGCCCACGGTCCTCTTTTCAGAGCGGAGCACCTTGTTTAAAGCTCTCCTTTCTTTATCTGAGATGTTTCCAAACCACAGGGCTTTGATGATGCATCAAAGCCCCAACCAACACCATCCATTCACTCACTCATTACATTCATACCTATTGGGCATGTTTTTAGTGGTAGAGGAAACCGAAGCACCCGGAGGAATCCTACAAAGACACAAGGAGAACATGCAAACTCAGAAAGGCCCTGTTCCAACCGGGATTCGAACCCTCTTGTTGAGAAGCAAGAGTACGATCCACTCAGCCAGTGTGCCCATAATGGATTTGATTTGATATATTATATTCTTACTCACTTTAATCATTCTAATAAACAATTATTACTTTCCTTGCCAGACGCCCCACGCTATTTAAGATCCTTTCAGGCAGTTGCTCCTCACCTTTGGAATGAACTTCCCCAATCTCTGCACATCTTAGAGTCTGTTGATGTTTTCAAGTCCCAATTTAATACCTATTTGTTTAGACAGGCTTTCTCTCTTCACTGCACATAGTAATCTGTGTTCGTGATGAGGGCTGTCTTCTGCATCTTCGTTTTTAAATCTGACTTGTATGTGTATCGTTTTCATCTGTATTTAAAAAAAAGTCAAGCGCTTTGTGATCCTGGTCTGTGAAAGTGCGCTATACAAACAAACTTGACTAACTTACTGACTTACTTATTTACAGAAGCTGAACATAACTGTATTTGTATAGTGTTGGACATTGTGTTGGAATTCTCTCCCGGTTTTCCTGCAAAATAGCCACAAAACAAATCATTTTAAAAACATCAACTCTGATTAAACCAATGCCCCCTGACAACAACAGAGAAACACAATCTTGCCAATTAGATCCCAGTAGACGACTTCCATAATCTATTGTTGGAAGAAAATATGTGACAAGCATTTCCATCTGTCACATTAGGTCTGGATGAGGTGGAGAGCATCTACATATTTGCTGACAATGAGATTATTGAGTATGACGGAGAGCTGGCCGCAGACACACTGGTGGAGTTCCTCTATGACGTAAGCCTGTGTACATCAGGAAAAGGCCATAACTGTTTGCGTACTTATATTGAAACTGATTTTTATTTTTATTCTGGTCAGGTGATTGAGGACCCGGTTGAAATCATTGACAACGAACGTGAGCTGAAGGGTTTCTTCAACATGGACGAGGTCATCAAGCTGGTCGGCTATTTCAAGAGCGAGAAATCCCCCCGTAAGAGCTCACTGTGCGAGCCTCGAGGGGAAAACACAAATACTGAAAGATGTCTTTTCTCTTGTATCTTCTAGACTTCATAGAGTACGACGATGCAGCAGAGGAGTTCCATCCTTTTGTCAAGTTCTTTGCCACGTTTGATGCCAAGGTTTGTAATCATAAACAACAACAAAAATCATGCGTCTATGCAGTTTTCAGTTGTGTGTTTCTAAAAATCTAACCAAGGGGTTGGTGAAAACTCACGCTCAAAGGCAGAACAATACATGACTTCCAGGACTAAAGATGTGTTTTGAGCAGTGGTTCCCAAAGTGAGGGTCTGGGGACATTGTGGGTAATTATTTTTTATTTTTATTTTTAAAGGTATATTAGATCAAAAAGGCACAATAAATAAATTACTAAAATAAACAATATTAAAATTGATCTAGCATTTTTTAGTGCTCTAAATGAATACTCAGTGGGGGTAGCCTGGTCGTACCACACTATTGTACAAATTACATTTCGTACTAAGGTCTGGATTTGCTCCATTGAGCGTCGTTAACAGGTGGGAGGGTTAACTCCTTTTGCAGATTCAAGTCGTTAGCATTTAGCCTAGCTTTAGCCATCTCCTTTGCGGTCGGCACTAGATCATATACGGAATCGGGACGAAACCGGAAGTAACAATCATACTTTCAAATTATTATATTTGCTTCCGCTTCCATCCCGATTCCGTATATGATCTAGTGCTGACCTCTCCTTTGCCCCTAACGGAGCCCATGAGGAGTAGCACCACAATTTTTGCCTGCAATTCCATTTTCTAAACATTCCTCTTGCTCCGACTTCAATTTCTTGATAGAACCAGACTGGATTACTTTACTATCGCATTCTTCACCATTGCCAAACTACAATCAGCCAATTTGGCACAAACTCTTGACGTCACTCACATCTACCTACAACACCCGCCTCCCGCACTCGTTGATTGGTCGGATGGGATTCAACCGATGAAATTGCTGACACCCAGACAGTACATGTAGGGAAATGATTATTGACTGGAGTTTACGGAAGGCTAAGGCCAGGCTACATCTTTTGGGTAGCTGGCCTGAAAAGTTTGCAGCATCACAAATAACTTTGAAGGTCTGTTATATCTGGCATGATGTTGAATTAAGTTACTTAACATGCTATATACAGTACTTATTATTTTATAAACTTTGCTTTTTCACCAAGTGTTGATCTACATTTTGGTTATGGCAAAAGTTTTGGAAATAGAATAGTCTCTTTTCTCAAACCCGCTGTTTTTTAGAGCATGGAGTATTAATAGTTACTGTACCTAATGTAACTTAAGTTCTACGGATAGGTGCGTAGTCCCTTAGCGGACTTCGCTAGTGGGATATCACGTGACCCCCAGGTCACAGACGCCAGAGAGATCAACAAAAAATGCTCCAATCGAATAGCACCTATTCGTAGAACTTAAGTTACATTAGGTAACTATTAATTCTACGTCATGGAGCTCCGCCCGAGCAAGACCCTCACACAGTGAGAGGAGTCACCTGTAGTCCCAGGACGCCTCTCCCAAGAGCTCCTGACGTGGACTACCTAACTGACAAAAGCACACACATATACCGCACCTGCAGGACGCCACTCCCAAGAGCTCCTGAACCAGGGCGGAAAGTCAACCGTCGGCCCCTAAGAGGGGAACATAAAGGTTGCAACTCAGTCCGCTGCACTCAGCACGGAATGGGCCACCGACCGGTCCGACACATCCAAAAGGTAAGACCGGACGAAAGAAGAGGACGACGTCCAAGAAGCCGCACGGCACACGTCCTCGACCGAAGCCCCCCTGAGGAGGGCCGTAGAGGCCGCCAACCCACGCGTGGAATGCGACCTGAAGCCCACCGGGGGGCCAGACCCTGAGCCTGATACGCCCGCCGCACAGCCGTGGCGACCCAGTGCGCCAGCCGCTGAGCCGACAGCGTGGCGCCCCTGTTCTTGGGGCCCAGACAAACAAACAGCTGAACAACCAACCTGAAAGAAGACGTCATGGCCAGGTAATGCCTAAGCATTCTGACAGGACACAGAAGGTGCCGCCGCTCCTCCTCGGAGGAGGCATGCGGCGGCGGATGGAAGGCCCTAATCCTGATCACTCTCGACCTGAAGGCCGACGTGATGACCTTAGGGAGAAAAGCCGGATTGGGCCACAACTCCACCAGGCCGTCACCCTCTCCAAAGGACAGGCAAGACGCATGGACGGAGAGCGCACACTAGTCGCCCGCCCTCTTCGCAGACGCCAACGCCAGCAAGAGGGCAGTCTTAAAAGCAACACACTCGGGACTCGCCTCCGCCACTGGTTCAAAAGGCGGGCCCGACAGACCCCTAAGGACCACCCTGAGGTCCCAAACCGGGGGTGTTCACTGAAGCGGGGGCCTCCTCCTGCGTGCCCCCCGCAGAAAACGTTTGACCAACGGGTGAGAGCGGGCTGTGAACCCCCCGAAACCGTCGTGACCCGAGGTAATGGCTGCCGCGAACACCGCCAAGGTGGCGACAGCCCTCCCTTTGTAAAATAGTTCCTGCAGGAATCCCAGGACTCCCTCCAACGGGCAACGCCTGGGATCCCAGGAGCGAGAACTGCACCAGTCGCTGAAGAGCCTCCATCTCGTGGCGTAGGCCCTCACAGTGGACGGTGCCCTCGCTTCCTGAATGGTCTCCACCACCGCCGGGGGAAGACCCAGGTCTACGAGGTTCCGCCTCTCAGCCTCCAAACCCAGAGCCTGCGGCCGATTAACGGGCGTGAAAACAGGGCCCCCCCCCCTGACTAGAGCCCCCGGCTCGTCCGGGAGGGCCCAGGGCTCCATCACCGCCATGCCCCTCAGGAAGGGGAACCACCGGGCATGTGGACTGTCCGGAGCCACCAGGATCACCGACCTCCCCTCCTGTTCGATCCTCCGCAGCAGGACCGGCAGGAGACGCACTGGCGGAAAAGCATACAGTAGGCCCCCTGGCCAGGGGTAGTGAGCCAGGGCGTCCACCCCTAAGGGCGGCTCGTCCGCGGCCCTTAAGGCGAACCAGGACGGGCACTGTGCGTTCTCTGCACTGGCGAAAAGGTCGACCACTGGACGACCGAATCTCCGCCATACCTCCGGAGCTACCCGTGGGGCCAGGCCCCACTCGTCCTGGAGTGGGCCCCCCCTGGACCCCCGCGCGTCTGAGCGGCTCCAGTGCTGCCTCCACGCACTTTGAGAAGGTCCGAGGTGCGAGCGCGTAGCCGAAGGGGAGACGGCAGTACTCGTAACTCCTCTCTCCCACTGCGAACCGCAGGAACCTCCTGTGTTCCGGAACTATCGGCACGTGAAAGTAAGCGTCTGTCAGGTCTATGGAGGATATCCAATCTCCCTGCCTGACACACTCGAGGAGCTGTTTTGTGGACAGCATCCGAAACTGCCATTTGGAAATGCACTCGTTCAAAGTGCGCAGATCCAGAATGGGACGCATCCCTCCTGACTTCTTTGGCACCAAGAAGTAAGGGGAGTAGAGCCCCCTGGCGGCGTCCTGTGGGTCCACCTCTACTGCTGCGCCTCGACTCAGCAGAGAGGAGACCTCCGCTTGCAGTGCCACTAATGACCCCCGTACCTGAGAGCGTGCTGCCCGCACGCCCCGGAACGGCGGTGGCTTTTGGGAGAATTGCAGTGCGTAACCCCTGCGCAATGTCTTCTCCAGCCACGGATCCGTCAGTAAGCCCTGCTCCCTCCAGATGCTGTAGAAGTCTGTGAGGGGCGGAACGGGAGCTGGAACACGAGACGTCACAGCCCCGCCCTCTCCTGGTGTTCCTAGCAGGGAGGGGGGGTGAACGAAAGGGCAGGGGGGCCCCCTGCGTCATACCATGTGCGCCGGGGGCGGTCACGTGTCCTGCAGGCCCGACGTCATAAGTACGGGCCTGCTCATGCCATGTGACTCGACTGCTCCGCCCCCCCCTGGCTGTTGCCTCATGGAAGGGGGGGCGAGCCCCTGGAGTGGGAAACCCCGTGCTAGCCTGGTAGCTCAGAGGGGCTAGCATGTATTCGGCCGAAGCACACACACCACTACTCACCAGATCCCTCCGCCTGACCTCTCTCTGGGAGGGCATAGTATGGATCAGAGGACCGGAGCTCGTAGCTCGCGTAGCGCACTGCAAACCCTGCTCTGGGGGCTGCAGGCCTAGCGGAGCAACGTTATGGGCCCGGGAAGTAACACAATCAGACACATTAGACATGTTACGTACCCCCAAATGAGACTCAGACAACGAGTACTGATGAAATGCTGGTCGGTCTTTATTGAAAGAATTCTTACCACCCCGGCCTCCTCTACCATAGGGAGGCCGGCGGTGGGTGCGTTGCTCCCGCGAGCCTCCCGTGGGTCTGTCTGGACCTCGTCGAGGGGGGACGATGGACGACGGATCGAGGATACGGGTCAGGACGCCTCCCGGGCGAACGCTCCCTGCCTCTGTCCCGGCTCCGTGATGGCTGGTGGGCCTCGCGCCTCGGTGCTAGGTGCGGGGCTCCAGTCTCGCCACCAGGGCCTGCATATCCGGGCCGAAGAGGGACGTCTAGGAGATGGGCAGGTCCAGCAGCTGCCTCTTCTCCGCCTCCCTGATGTTAGCCAGCCCAAGCCAAATGTGCCTGGCCCCGACTTGGGCTGCAGCCATGGAGCGGCCGCCATCCACGGCCAACGCCTGGCACATGCGCAGGATCGCCGCCGAGGTGGTCCTAGCCTCTGACAGGAGGTCTCCACTGAGCGCCTGGCCAGAGGAGAGCGACCTATCCAGGGCCCCCGTGATGAACGCCATGTTGTTAGCCAATGCGACAACCTGTGCCGCATTGGCATAACATCTATCCAGCATCGCCAAGACATCCTGTCCCGCTCGGAGGGAAGGAGAGGTCTGGTGTCGGGCCACACGGATGCGGAGGGGTGCAGGGCCATGCGGACTGAGTCCTCTATGTTCGGGACACCACCGGTCCAGGACCAGTCCTGCACGCTGCAGTACATGCCGTACCCCAGAGCAGGCCTCTTGGCTGCTAGGGGCTTTGGCCACTCACGTGTCGCGTAATGGACGATCGGGTCCATCCGCGGGCCCAACGTGGGTTGAATCCTCCTCCTCCCTCGAGTGGTGGCGCCCACAGAGGTGTAGATCTCAATCGGCACCAGAGTGAAAGAGGGGGCGCGGCTATGGAGCAGGGGCCTTTATAGAGGAGGGTCGCTAGTGATTGGAGCATTTTTTGTTGATCTCTCTGGCGTCTGTGACCTGGGGGTCACGTGATATCCCACTAGCGAAGTCCGCTAAGGGACGTAGCACCATGACGTAGAACTGCTTATACATATTTTATACGGGCGGCACGGTGGCTGAGTGGATAGCACTCTCGCCTCTCAGCAAGAAGGTCCTGGGTTCGAATCCCGGTCGGACCAGGGCCTTTCTGAGTGGAGTTTGCATGTTCTCCCCGTGTCTGCGTAGGTTTCCCCCGGGTACTCCGGTTTCCCCTACCACTAAAAATATGTCCAATAGTTCTAGCATGTGCCTCCTGTACTGGCGACCCCGCTCCCATCTCTGTGTGGAGTGAGAGACAAATGCCCAAAAATTAACAATTGTAAACCGCTTTGAGACTCAGATCTGCAGTAAAAAGGCGGTATATAAATAAAAACTTATACATATTTTCTGATATAGTATCAGAGTGTGAGTATTATGACTGTGGTATCAGTGGATTAAACATCGAGGAGCAGAGTGGTTGTATGTTTTAAACACTTTCTTAAACCATGCTACTGCACAGCTTCTAGTTGGCTAATCCTTACTTACATATTATTTCACTCACACAATGGTTACCGTGTGCAATATTTCAGATTGCCAAGAAATTGAAGTTGAAGATGAATGAAGTGGACTTTTACGAGCCCTTCATGGAGGAGCCCGTCACCATTCCAGGAAAACCCTACATTGAAGACGAGCTGGTGGAATATATCGAACAGCATGACAGGTCCCTGCAAAAAAATTTCAAATGTAATTTAACATAATAACTTTGACAACATGACATGCAGGCCTACCTTGAGGAAGCTTGAACCTCACAGCATGTACGAAATCTGGGTAAGACACACAACGTTGCTGTTAATTGTAAAACAGAGGTAATTCTTCTTCTTGCTTTATCAGGAGGATGACATTGACGGAGAGCACATTGTTGCTTTCGCAGAAGAAGACGACCCAGGTGAAGTAAAACATTTGGTTATGTTAATGGTTAGAGTTAAATGCTACAAATAACTTTTTTCTGGAGCCAGAAGTGATTTAAACAAATCAATTGTGCTCTGCCGATAACAGTTTTGTTGTCCAATTCTTTTGCGAGGAACTTAGAAGCCAATAAAATGATTTGCATTTAATGATTACTTATTTTGTCACTAGAGACTGAATTCTAAATGTTCAAACCTTCAAAAGTATATACGTCATATGTGTATTAGCAGAGCTGAAGTTGGCTGGAGCACAATGAGGACTGTTTATGATCTCTGTTTTGTGGACCAATTTTACACCCACCTATAATAATGGACAGATTGTATAAAGTGACACATGCAAAGCAAATCCTGAGCTTTAAAATTCTGCTAGTTTATGTAGGACAAAGTTTGAAAAAAAATACAGTAATTTTCAATAATTAAACAAATTGGTGAAAATCTGGGACGACAACCAACATCATTCACTTCAATTAAATTTAGTTCAATTCATGCAAGACTACTATATAAGCCAATTTTATGCATCAAATCGATCAATCTGATTGTTCCATCGCTCATGGAAAAATGTGCAATATTGTCATAATCTGATGACTCTTTGTGTTTTCAAAGATGGCTATGAATTTCTGGAAATCTTGAAGGAAGTTGCCCGAGAGAATACTGACAACCCTAACCTCAGCATCATTTGGATTAACCCTGACTTGTTCCCTCTGGTATTAATGATCCATTTCAAATTACATTATATGACTCAAGTTGTCTAACTCATCTTGGCTTATGCTTTGTTTTACAGCTGGTTCCCTACTGGGAGAAGACATTTGGTATTGACCTTGGTTCTCCTCAAATCGGCGTTGTTGATGTTGAAGATGTGAGCAAAATGATCAATATAGTCTACTGTATATGTAAAAGGACTATTTCTACTATAGTATATATATATATAGTATGGTCTATTGAGGAAAACCATTAAAATGAAGGTGTTTGGAAGCTCCTTAACAGATAATTTAGCATTCTTGGCAAAAAGCCTACATATCAGTAACTGCAGGATTTTACTTTTAGATTATGACTCTCAAAACTTGCACTATCCCTGAAAATGACTGACGGAATCACAATTTTTTTTACCGTTGAGTTTTTCACCTTTTCTCACAGGCCGACAGCGTGTGGCTGGAGATGGATGATGATGAGGAGATGCCCTCCCCCGACGAACTGGAACAGTGGATCGAGGATGTTCTATCAGGAAAGATTGACCCAGATGATGATGATGATGATGATGATGACGATGACGACGATGACGATGATGATGATGATGACGACGATGATGACGAGGACGACGACGACGACGACGACGACGACGACGACGACGACGACGACGACGACGACGACGACGACGACGACGACGATGAATAATATATTTTATTCATAAAAGTGGTTAAATCATTTAAAGTGATAGTTTGAATTTCTGGTAGTTTAAACAGCGGGGGTCAGTATCCACCAATCCAATTTCTGTCTCTCAGTCATGTGACCCGGTCTTAGCTATCTGCCCTCTGGCTGAGACCAAAGCAGCGTCCCTCACGTGTTGAGAAACATAAACAAACTTTACAAAGGTGCACATTCGGGCTCTCACGAGTCATTACTGGGGTCGGGAACTTCAGTTAGACGCATCTTTCTGACTTCAGCATTTGAGCTACTTCATCGAGCCTTGTTTGTAATATTAGAGCAATGCATTAGCACAATTGATGGGACCAGAGATTTTAATGCTGACATGAACTGGTGAAATAAATATGACAAATAACAAAGAAATGTATTATTTGAGGAGAAGTACAGCCAAACTAACAGTCGGCTTTTATCTTCTTATTCTATCTGCATCATAAATGTTCCAAACGTTAAGAGGTGAGATCACTTCTGAACACACACAAACCCTTGATAAACACAGGACGCTCATAGAAGGATAATGTTTTTGCAGTTTGTGTATTTCACTTTGTCCCATTGAATAGTTTTTACTGTTATATTGTGTACATGAACATAAGTGGGATCTTTTGAGTAAAAGTATCTCTTTAGACCAGAGGAGACTCAGAGATTCAGAAAAACCTCTGAAGGAGCCATGCTGATGTTCACTATGCAAGATTTAGTTTTATTGCTTCAACTAGATTGCACAGAAAGGATGTGGCCTCTATATCACGAACTATCACTTTAAATAAGAATAGCAAACAAATCCAGTTTGCTTTTGGGTGGTTTCCAGTGGAACCAGGACAATGGCGTGATCAATCTTTAAGATGATCAAACCATGAAGGGTTTTGTAAGATGACGATTGACCTTCTGAGGAGCAGGGTAAACACATGTGAGACATCATGTCCTTGTAAAACCACATGACACTAATTTAACAGTTTCTACCAACTTTTATTTAAAATATATTTCTGTGGAAATATCTTGTTTTGTACTTGAAAAGGAGAAGAAACACTTACCTTTCGCTGTTTAAGAGAGCACTGGACAGTCTTAAAATCCAGCAGGTCGTCCATGGAAAACCTTCTGGAAGAACAGAAGTCTCAAGTATAGTATTTGGTTCCCAAAGTGAGGGTCAGGTATTAATTTGTTTATACAAACAATATATTATAAGTCATATTTCAGCCTAATAAATGACTCAAATATTGAATAAATAATATTAAATAAATAAATATTAACATTTGTTTCACATTACATATCTAGATTTCGATGTATTCAATGGTGGTTGCGAGTCGTTCTCACACTGGGGGGTCACTGCCTGAAAAGTTTGCAATCCCCAGAAATAAATGGCGGCAATCAGTTGTAAATGACAGATGAAAACTGAGATGGTAAAAGAATGCACTGTGTTTCTTCTCTCTATAATAAAATAAAACCAACAGTGGCGTATGTGTGTTTCTTTATAGAATCTTAGCAGCAGATGATTACTTCTGTATGATTGACTGTCCCAATGTTCACAGTGTGTCAATATATTTACTATCATAATTGCAACTTTGTTTATTATTATTAGCTGGAAATAGTGGAAAGAAGAAAAACGCATGGACTCCCACTCCAGGTACATCATATACTTTGTTAGATGGATCCAGTTCTTAAACATTGAAGACAAATGACAGTGTCAGCTTTGTTTAACAATGCAACGGTTTTAAATAGAGTTTTTCAGAACACTCAAAGACGCTTCACATACAATACAATACAATTTATTCTTGTATAGCCCTAGGTCACAACAGAAGTCATCTCAGAGACTTAACAAAACTATTGAAATCACCAACACAGGTCAGAGAATCAACAGTTAAAACACATGAAAAATATAAAGCACACACAGAAGAAAATGTCCATACATGTTGTAGAATGCTAAAGTGTCCTGATCATCACCAATCCTTTCTGTTGGACACTAACTGTCCAACAAGACCCTCCTGCATCGACAAGGAAAAACTCTTAAAAAACCCAGTGGGAAAAAGTGAGAAACCTTGGGGAGAACTAGGGAAACCCACAGGGAGGGAGACCCATATGAGAAAGGGATCCGCTCCTCCGGACGGACAGGCATGTCATTATTCATTCACTCCATACACAGTGGCGATACTATGTCTGTAGCCACAGCTGCCCTGAGGCACACTGACTGAAGTGAGGCAAACAGTATGTGCCATCAGCCCCTACGACCGCCATCAGCCATTCACGCACACACCAGACCGTTCTAGGCAATGTGATACTTTGGCACTTTACAGCCACAGCCGCCCCACTGTGGCACCTGGTGTTCCCAGAGGTCTCCCATCACAGTACTAACCAGGCCCTGCCCTCTTCAGCTTCTTCAGAGGTCTGACAGGACCTGACTTTCACATGCAGGTATGGCCACGTTTAAATGAAGCAAGACAACATCTCAAACTAAAAATAAATTGAGTATGCCATGGTGAATTTTGAATTAACTAACTAGGTGAAATGAGTCAAAGTAAGATAAGATAAGATAAGAGTTCCTTTATTCGTCCCACAGTGGGGAGATTTCGGTGTTGCAGCGCACAGACAGGACAGGAGTAAGAGCACTCAGGGAGCACACAAAATATACAAAAAAGTAGTAGCTATATTTCTTAACCATCTGTAAATGCTGTAAATGCTTCGATACCAGTCTTTCGCAATAATATATATATATATATGTAGTAGATATTATTATTATTATTATTATTATATACTAATAATAAAAACTGAACGTTTGACCACGTATTACAAAAATACATATTTCAAAAACAGAAGTGTCTAACCGGAGTCTCTGTGTAATAGCTCCACCTAGTGTCTTAACCAATTATAAGCTGTATTGGGGACAAAGTATTTTTATCTTTTTATAGATGTAAGAAACGTGCCTAAATGTGATAAGCAGAGCGCCGGGAGGACTTTTTATGTTTCCTGGATTGGTATCATGCAATCATTTTGTGCACAAGGAATAAGAACATGTGTATTTTGGAGAGTTGACCCTTTTCTCTAATGGAACCAGGATAACATCATTATTAATTGTATAGTTGTTTTTTTCGATGCATGCAATAATAATGATGACAATAATCTATACATTTGCTTTTGCTCATGACACTCAAGGTCGTCTCACACACACAAAAAAAGTAAAATACTAGTTAAAATACAAAGTAAAAAGCAGCATGAACCAGGGATGATGTCATTATGGTATAGGGGTAAAAATGATCCAACAGTTGAGTTAAACATTTAAAGCAGCTCTTTAGGCCTGATCCCATGAACAAGAAACCCCTCACCCACAAGTAAATACATACAATACACTCACACGTGATGAAAAACTGCTTCTAGAGCGTTCATCTCTGAGAAACATGACACACACTCTGCTCAATCGAATGCACCACACAATTAAAGTTCCGTTTTCTTTGAGGAAAATTTTTTCTTTGAGGAAGATTTTTTCTTTGTGGAAGATTTTTGCTTTTTGAAAACGGGTTGGTTTTCGTCTTTCTTCCAGGTCAGTTTGACGTCTCCCAGGTTGTTCGCTTCAAACTGTTTTTGCAGCTAAAGAAAATGGAGAAGGTTCATTATTCCAAGTAAAGAAATGTACGTAAGGTGAAGGTAAACGTTATTGTCCTGTTGGAAATGTGAATGTGAACAGTCTTAACTACACAAACCTGTTGCAATATTTTGGGGCTGAATTTGTTGAGATCCACTGGTGAGGACATTTTTATTTTCACCAAAGTCTTTTTTCTCTTCAGAGCTGAAAAATATAAATTCATCAATTAATCATTTTTTCTTTTTACAGCGCCTTTCCTACTCAAGGCAAGATAACGTGTCTCATAACCCACATCATATCAAGCAAATCATAAACATTAAAATCTACATATACAGTTAAAAAAACACAAGAAATATTAAAAACAGAATAAAATCAAAGTAATCAAAGTATTTAAAAACCTTAATTAACCTTAAATACAAAATGTGTGTGTGTAATTTGCCTAGAATAAAACTGTATCATCCATATTGTATTTTCAAACTGACTTAAATCAAGTAAAGTAAAACACGTTCTTTCTCCCATGACTTGAATTGTTGTTGCTTGTTCTCTTACCTCCTTCACAGATGAAGCTTTTCTTTAGTCCACAGTCGTCGCTCTCCCATCGGCCCTCGGCTCCCAGTGCTGCACATTTCTTTGTCTCTGGATTTATCGATGTGTGTGAGTTCCAGTTTCTGAAAGAGGAGTCGCTTCTGTCGGACCAGCTCCAGGTGTCCCGGAACAGACCGAACCAACACATTGAGAATCACAAGGTTCTGTTCCTGAAAAAGGTTCGGTTCCTGAAACAGTTTATTTTATTCATCTTTATTAAGGACTGAAAATGTTGAGGTCCAGAGATAAATGTTACAGTCGTTGGGTTTTTATTATTATTAAACTATTGAAATAGAAATAGGTTCAAAGTCTTCCTGTTCACATCTACAGAACTGATAAACAGCAGATGAGTTCAGTTATAGCAGTGGATTTGTGCTTTTAATGTTGAAAACATTAACTATTTATTTTAAGCAAAACTAACATGCTTCTGATTTTTGATGTTTTTAATGCAGGAAAATTACAGTTTGGATAAGATCATGAAAAGGAAACATTGAACAAAACATTAAAAAAATACCTTTTAAATTCACTATTTCAATTTAATTCCCACTTTGACCCCTGTGCCCCTGCTTGGAGTGTGTAGACGTGTTCCTTGGTGCTCTGCTGCTTGCTTCGCTTTGTAATCTCTTTTAAATCGTTTTATTTACATTTTTATTTCACAAAACACGGATTACTCATTCTGCAGACTTCAGCTTTGTGAAATTTGTCAACATTAGTCATGTCCGGACGGAAGAAACTGAGAAATGTCTGCGATGGCTGCAGCTCTCTGGAAAATCAGCTCAAATCTCTTCAAAAACGGATGGATATTTTGGAAACAGAAATG